AAGTCCCAGAAATGCCTTAAAATGCATTATCCTAGTTAAAATTTTAAATTTTAACAAAAAAATTGACATTTTTACCATTTTTTAGCCTTTCCAGGACACCAATAAATTGCATTTTGTAAAGGTTAGATTGAATAAGATTAAATTACAGTAATGAGGAAATTAAGAATGAACAAAACAACTAACACCAGAAATGGCTAAAAAAATAGATCCCAGAAATAACAATAACACCTAAAGGCAAGCAATTTGCAAAATACAACTTTATTTATTAATTTTTATTTATTTATTACAACACAGAAAAAGTTGTTTTGTGACATCGCCGTGTCCCAGCCCTTAGTTTTGGACCCTCGGCCTGGGTCGTTTGTTTTATTGCCGTTAGGTGTGGGATCTTGACCAACCTGTGCTATTTTTGGACCAGAGGTGAACAGGTGTGTCTACTGCCGTTCCTTTTTTTTTTCCAGCTGAGTGAGAGTGATATGAAGAAGACTGGCTGGTAAAGTAAAGTAAATAGTGGTTTGTGTATTTGCCTCCTGCCCCATTACCTCAGAGTTATCCTGGGCCCAGGTCGAAAGGCTTTTAACTGTGATGCAACAAATTTAAATCACATTAAAGTTTGCATTTAAAAACAGCATCTAGGAAAACTGCTTTTATGAAAACACAAATCATATACATATATAAATGTATTTAAATTTTTCAATGTAAGTAATAACTTTAAAATTTACATTTACTCACATAGTATAGTAGTACAGAGAAAATGTTAGTCAGACACTTCCTGTTTAGCCTTTATTCCCTCATTTATTTGTTTTTTATTTCTGTCCACGTCCACGTAATTGAAAAAAAAATTATAAAATATGATCAGAAACCCTTGATTAAAACCTAAGACTCCTCAGATATAATCGCCGTCTGCAAAAAGAGCTAGCCATTAGCCATGTCCAATGGCCAAGTCCATGTTGTTATGCTGTCTTTACCATGACTATCTTCCTCCAGCAGGGGTCCCCACAGAAGACAATCAGCACAAAGAATATGATTCAGCCTAGTTCTTGAATGTGTTTTTTTTTAGGCTAAATGTTTTATTTACTAGTTTTAAACATTTTTTATTGAAGGATTAAATGATTAAAAACTGATTCAAAATCGAAAAAGTTCGGCTTCACAGATCAACGATCACTTCAGTGTTTTAGCCCATCATTCAGGGGAAGATAAAAACAACAAGCCATGCAGAGACCCACAATTGGTTAAATGATGCTATCCTCATCAGTTAGCGAAACAACACTGTCGTCATCAGATAGTACGTGAAGAGTCTACCGCGCGTCTGTATGTGTGCTGCACAGATAGATCAGGAATGCGAGGACAAACATCACCTTCGACACAGTTTCCACATTTGGAAGTGATCTCTGATTCTGCTTCTTCAACTTTCCACAGGTGATTCGATGACCAGATCTTGGAGGATTTGTTTTGACATTGATCCCAGGTTTCAGATTCAGTCCTGGTGCCAACATGGTGAGGCACGACATTAACCTTCTTGAGTGGGGAGTGATAAAAGAAGGGAAAACAAATTTGTTTTACTTGTTTTGTTTGCCAATATACACATGTTAAGCTTTTTAGGTTCAGAAGGTTAGCCAAGGGGCACAACAACAAGCAAAAAATAAAAAATAAAATAAACTTAAGATTTTAAACTTGGGCAAAGGGGCAAATGCAGACTGACAAAAAGAAAACACTGGGAAAACTAAAACAGCTCAGTACGGTCAAAACAACTCACTGTACCACTTTCAAAAGCCACTAAAATCTTTCCCAAAATTCTTTAGATGTATGCTATATGTATCTAATCCAGTGTTTTCTCCCCCCTAACCCTCCCTCCCCAATACTGAAATACTAAATACTAATACTGAGTGCCTGGTAATATTTATTTATCTGTACTAATCACAATGAGTTCTTCTTTTACTATCTTGAGCAGCCAGCCCCCTCTGCTGCCACCTAGTGACTGGGAGCTTGTTTATCATTTAAGCATGAATGAAGACAGCATAGTGAAAGTCCCCTCGTGTTCTCCCCCACTGCCCCCAGTAATAGTGGGGCAGTGATAACTCACTGCCCCACTATTTGAGAAGCACTAATCTCAACCACGTGGTTTGACCTTGAGGTCCAATTTTTATAGCACTATATATTAACACTATATATGTTAATATGTATAATAAATAAATAAAAAAGGTAAACGTTAAAATATTAAATTCAAACATTCAAACAATGTAAATGTTTTTAAATTAAATAAACTTTAAATAAAATTGAAATAAAGTGCAAATGAAACTACAGCCCTATTGTATTAGTGTTGTCAGGTGATAAGTTTTTTGCGACCCTCTAGATAGCGCTGGTGGCCCAAGTTTGCATGTTTACTTCTAGTTTATCGCAGCCTGCCTGATAACATCATTTAATGATTGACAAAAACACCTGTTTTCTTGTCCAATCCAATCCAACAGAAGAACATCTGAACCCACACAAGCCAATCAGATTCACGCCCACAGCTTCACTTTTGCCACAGTATGTATACATCAATTTCCTGCAGTCTATGGGCTGCAGGCAGTGCTTTTAGTAAAGCCATTACTACTGGGTATTTATAAATGAGCATAGCAGTAAGGCTGAGGAGGCAGTCCAGAGCCCTGAGCCCAATAGTCCTTTCTAATTCTATTAAAATTGAGCTACAGCTTCATGAGAGGTCAGCAAAGTTCCACAGACTAGACCTGTGAGGTGCCTTAGAAATATAGTAAATTGCTAACATATCTACTGTATTAGAAATCCACACGGCAAGGACATTGTATCTCGTACTTCTTCTTCTCATACTTTCAGTATGGAAAGTTTTTCCCTCACAGTGAGAAGATAAGAAGTCCTGGATTGGAGTTTGGCAAGTGTCAGACAAAAGAAAAATCACGTACGATACAACCGCCCCCCCTCAGGTGAGCTACGTGCCTTCTGTCTCACACTTATCTGTGCACTGATTCACATCAGCGCTCACTGCTATTTTTGCACCTGCCCAATTTTTCGGCAAACTCATCCTCTTATCAAGGACATTCCCCGTGGTAAATATGAGGAAGAAGAGGAGGCAGAGAGCAAGTTGAGTTTTTCAGACAGTAATGGCTTTCACCTGCCGAGATAAAAGTTCAAACAGAATCCCCCACTCCCGACCCCTCTTCCCCTCTCTTTTAAATGACCACAGTACGGGGCAACTGTGTGCACAGTCTCAGCAGTGTAAATAGTGAGGCCCTTGTGCGTGGACCTGGGTAATCTGAGCACACAGGATCTGCCTCTGCCTGTCGACCCCAATTCAGTCCCATTAAAGCCAATGGGTGAGTGAGGAGGACGCGGCGGCAGGCTAAGCAAGCTGTCATGTTTGACAGGGTGTGTAAGCTAAGCTCAGGGGAGCAGCCTACCTTTTACAGAGCTTAACCACACACACACACACACACACACACACACACACACACACACACACACAGATATACACACCCCAACAAGGGACAATAAAAAGAGAGGCATACACAGATAGACAAAAACCTGTCACACAAGTGTGGGCATACACCGTTCATAGTACAGAAGTGAAATGTGTCTCCTAGTTACAGTGTTATGAAACAAAACAAGTTTGAAAAGCAGAATCAGGTTTCCTCCAGCCTGACGGCCCCACGCCCATCACCCTCACTCTCCTCCATCTACCACCCCATCTGTTCTGCCAACCGCTCCATTACTCCCCCGCCTTCATTAATGCACCACTTTCCCTGCCCTGTCACTCTTACCTCAGCGTTATGGGAACACCCATGATTGACGCTATCGCTCTTACAGTACTTGCTCTCTTTTTTGACCTCTGTGTACATGTAAGTAGGGTAAAAAAAAAAAAAGTCACTTACATTTCTAGCCGAGGCATTCATCTGGACCAGGTCGAGCTGCCAATCAGGAATCATTTTGTACTGTGGAATAATGATGAATAATGATGATTTGATGATTTAGAAACACCCGTCGGGGCAGTAATACTCAGGCACCTCAGCACAAATATCCTCCTGTCAAACAGAAAACAATGAATACTATAAATAATGCAGTCAAGTTATAAAACACTTCCAAAAATATTTTAGAATATAACAAATTAATATGGCCAAATAACTTGAAATAAAAACATATATATATTTGAAGTATATATACCTAAATACCTATGTATACAGTATTCTGTATATGAACTGTGTATGACTTTTAGCTTTTACTCTGCCTCCAAGGACATTCGAGGTAGAGAAAATAAGAAATGAAAGCAAATGCCTCAGACGCCCCAACCTGTATCGGCCTGAGCATCTCCATAGCAGCGTGACCCCCTGAAAAAGCCCATCATGCTCCACTGCACTTGAAAAGAACCGAAAACAGGAATGGTACAGAGTAGAGAAGGGTGAGCAGGGGTAAGGAAGCTGGGGTAATGAAAGAAACCCGAGAGGTCTGGAGTGGAGGCTTCTAAACACCGTATGAGAAGTTGGGTTACTTATCATTTCAGTGTTTACCTTCAGCCTGAGCACAGATTTTACGTTCTTACGATGTACATTCTTGTCAAACTACCAGTTTTGTAAAAATGTTGACATCCAGAAAACTAAACTAACTAAAAACAGACTTAATTTCTGTTTTTAGTTTGTTGTAAAAAAACAAAAAAAAAGTGACAAAGTCTAAATCATTTAACATTCATTTAATTTGTTTGGTTTTTTGATTACAGTGGTTATTTCTGCCTTTCTGGCATTCACAGAAACATGTAGAACAATAACTGGAAACATAGCTTTTCGATAATACCTGTGGCTCAGTCTAGTAGTTACAACAGATACAAACTACGTCTCCGTACCTGATCGACACAAATGTAAATACAATCAATGTACAGAAACAGGACAAAATAAATCTCCAAAAACTGGAACTAATACTTGTTGTCTGTGTGTGTAATAAAATGACAAACGTATTTACATTCAATTTGAATAATTACCATTTTCAGAAACAAACAAATGTAGTGTATGAGTCTGACTTTAACAAACATAAACACTGATTATTCAAACTTGTGATAAAATATCTAATAGTGATTATTATTAGAAGGTTCTATTATATATGTTCAAGTGCTATTAATAAAGATACACAGGAGGGCCCTTGTGGGGCGGGGCGGGGGCCACGTCGGTCCCTCCTGTCAGAGTGGCATAAATCAAGGTGCAGCTCAGAGATTGGAGTCCCGGGGCAAAAGTCAAAGGTTAAAAATTCAGTCAAACCTCCGCCTCTGAGACACAGTCATATGGGTAAGTAGTGGAAAGTGGGAGAGGAGGGAGGAGTTACCTGAGTCCTCCCTCACAGTGCAGTGGCACTGCCTTGAAACATGAACGATAGCCTTGTACTGCAGGGAGAAGTGTTTTTGTTCCTTTGATTAGATGAAGGTTTTTGTTTGCAACACTCTCATGTGTGACATGGATTAAAGTTAGAACTTCACTTTTTAAACAGGCAAATTTTTTTTTCTATTTTATTTTATATCCGCAGTAGACTATACCAGAGGTCACCAGTAGAGGGCTATTAGAAATAGGACATTTGCAGCAGAGAGAATAACATATTTGAATGTTTTGATTATCAGTGCGAAGAGTATTTTGTTTTGAAAAATTTGCAACTTTTCTCCCAACTACAAAGGCCCCTTGACGCCTGTCAAAATAAAAGCCTATAGCATTTTTTTAATTAGGGAAAGGACCACAGAGGAGACAATAGAGAACCCTACAGCTTTCGAAATAAAACAATGTCCTACCTAACGGTCTATGGTGAGTTTCATTTTTATACCCCTTATATCTGTTTTACAATCGGTGGTATTTTTTTTTTGGCGTGCTTTTTCATTGCACCTTGAAATCCACATTTGATATTATAGAAACCATGTATTAGACCATTTCTGTTACAGAACCTACAGCCAGACTAGTCCTGTATTGTGCACAAGTATGCTCTTACTGTTTTCATACGTATATAATCAAATGGGAGGTACTTCTTTTTTTTTGTCCATAGGTAGAATTCCGTGTAAATGTTTGGGAAAGAACAGCTGATTCAAACGGAGAATCCTATGGCCTCTGTGGGTGTTTTTACTTGCCTCAGTTATGAAGCCAGTGCTGTCTTTAGGCCTGAGGTCTGAAGGTCTCAGTTCACAGGTTCTCCAGGCTGAGGAGAGGATCAAGTCTCTCTCTCTCTTTCTCTCAGCCCAGTCTCAGAGACCCAGCCAGCATGTCAATGTGGGATGCACATTACACAGTACAGATGCTGCCTGGGCTGTGATCGGTTCTGCTTTAAAGAGCTAATCACATGAGTTGACAAAAACAAGTCAATTAGACGAAAACAGGTTCAAACTGGCATCTATCAACATTAGCAGCTTCTAAAATGTCCTCTTGACATAAAAATAAACATGTTTTAAATGTTTTTAAATCATTTTTCATATATAAAAATATCTATAATATTACTATGCAGCTCTTTTCACTGGACGGGTTCGACTCACAGTCATATGTGCTTCTGTATTTCACGTAGTGTGTTTGTGAGAAAATGGTGATTAGTGTGTGTGTGTGTGTGTATCAGTATACCCAAAAGAGAAGGCCTGTGTGGATTGTATCTCCATCACCTTTCATGAATCACCTCCTGTATATCAATTCCCTTTCTTATAAATTCCTCACTCATCTCTCAGCTACTCCTTTTGTGCTAAATTCTCTGTCATTCCTCTCGTCTTCCTGCAGTTCTTATCAGCTGATTTCTGGGGGTGATTGCTTGTGTCTGCTAACAGACCGTTTGCTGGCTGGACAGTGGACTCTCCAGGGTCATGCTAGTGGGAGACAGGCCTGGACGGGCACAGGGCTTAAACATGGAGGAGATGTAGAAGGCCTGCAGGCAGAGAAACTAAAACATGTCAGAAAAAATGACCAGACCACACAGGCTGTCAATCAGTGGCAGTTGAAAAAAAAAAAAAAAACATTTCAAGACTTAAGTTCCAAGACTTAAATGAAGAAACATTTTTATTACCAGTTATTTTAATAGGCAAATCAAACAAAGTCTGCCTTAATACAAATCAATATATTAATAATATATATATATAATATTAAATATCACAATTATTATAATGTTACAAAAGTATATAATTAAATAAATAGATCTATTAACACATCACACTCCTTAACTGGGCATTATGACTCATTATCAGTTCACCACCTTCTCCATATTCTGTCCTCACTTCAAATTCACCAATGAGAAGACAATCATGTGACGTAGTGTCTTAAGCACGTACCACCCAGTATGCTGTGAGTCCTCCTTGAATGAAGCCTGTGAGGACGTCTGTAGGGTGGTGACGGTAGTCAGAGATCCGGCTCAGGCCAGTGTAGACGGCGATCATCACCAACAAGAATTGTATTAAGGGACGCAGCAGACGTGCTCCTCGCCACGACAGCCGCGCCTGCAGGTAGAACTGAGACAAAGAACATAAACCATTCCATCTGACTGTCATTTGTCATGTGTTAATTAATGTGCTGTTCATATAATCCGATGATAACATCTGATGATTGAAGCTTAATCAAAGAGAGCGGAAAAGCTTTGAGATAAACATCCACAGAGTTGCTGCCCAGAGGGGAAAGAGAAGCTTGGCATGAATCCGTTAACACCAGTTCAAGGCCATTTCCTCCTTTTGTTCTTCATTAACTTGTGTATCAGCAAAAGCTACGACACAGAATGCAGTCTGCAATAACTAGGGGTCACAGGGCAAGTCAGAGTGTGCTTTATGAGGTGGTAGAGGGTCTGTGTGGAACCCTTTGGAGCACGGGGGAACACACAAGGGCCGGCATTCCAGCGCAGAGACCAACCCTGAGAGTCTCCGNCGCAGAGACCAACCCTGAGTGTATCCTTCTCTTACTTCGCTCTCCTAGCTGAGAGCAGGTGTCACTGGTACTGCCTTAAACTCAAGCAGCTGGCCAGGGTCTGGGCAGCATGTAGCTACAAGTACTGCACATTCCCTCCTGGTTGTCTATGGTTTGTAGTAACCCTAGCTGGCTGCTGGCTATCAAATGAGGGTGTGTGTATGGAAACAATGGAGTGTGGCGTGGAAAACACAGGGAGAGTCAGACAGACAAAAGGAACATTTCCTCCAGGAAATACCTGGGACAATTTTCAGTGAACTAAATCACCTGGATGACTACAACTGAAAGTTGATAGTTGGCCACGGGGCAGCAGAGAGCCAAAACCTGGCTGTCATTAGGTGTGGGCGGGGAACACTGTTTGCCAGTCCATCATAGGACCACATACAGAAACCAACAACTATTCACACTCACAACTTATGGTCGAAACCAACGCCAAACTAACTTACTTCTGGCTGTTTGTTGACGTTGGGTCTATGTGGCCCATATGTGGCACCCAGTGGGTGCTGATACAAGACGTGGACCGTGAAAGTATAATAGTACAGGGATTGTGGCTCAACATGTGGCTCATCATTCGACCAACTTTGTCATCTGGGTAAGTATTCTTAAAGCTATATCATCGCCAACAGAAAAAAGTTTTCTTTGGCTTGTGTTTCACTTTTTTTGTACTAGGCTGCTAATTATCTGGACACTACAATAGTGGTGCACTTTCCTTAAATAAAAAAATAGCAGTTTTCTCTTTTTCTGTTCCAATTTTCCACATTTCAGCTCCATCTACTCACACATTCAAGTCTCCCAAAGCTGTATTTAGAAGTTATTGATGATTGGATTTGTGAGAAAACAAAACTTTTGTGGATAACGATGTGCTTTTGTTTCCCTGTCACTAACTGTCACTTCTCTCACAGTGCACTAGTTAGTACGAGGCAGCTTGAGCGAAAGGGAGAGATGAAGAGATGAGGAGGCAAGGGGAGGGGGGGATGTCTCTGGCTGAAAGAAGCCTGTCGATTTCTCAGCAGGCATATTCAGCCCTGCGCTCCCCCTTCTCTAAATGAGACCCACAACAAGGCCTCCTCTGTCTGCGTGGTCCCTTCATCTATTCATGCTCTCTGTGGAAAACAGCTCTCCCTCCCCTTCTCCCGGTCTCATCCACTCTTTGAGAACGCCTGTCCTCCACAATCTCCTCGCTCACAATCGGTAGTTTGAGTACATGTAAAAAGTGCATGTATCGCTGTGTGTTTGTGAATATTTAATTGGCTCATTGCCGGTTGCACACAGTGTTTTTGACCTCTCAGGTAGTGGTTATCTTTAGTATCGGAAACAAAAATGATAGCCGTAATATTCCTACAGCGTTGTGAACAAAGAACTGCAGCAAATACTGTTATTATACAACACAAAAGCTCAGGTGAACCTCAAAGACACATTCCATAAGGATTTGTGTGTGTGTGTGTGAACATATGTGTGTGTGTATGTGTACAAGTACCTGCCTTTACCAGGCTGTGAGGACAACCATTCTTTCCATCTATCACTGTGTTCACATTTAGAGGACATTTTGACAGGTTCTCACAACTTCAAGGTACCGCTGTATGTCGCCGTTTAAGGCTTTTCGAAAGGGCCTTAAAGAGAATGAAGGGTAAATTTCATTTGGGTTTTTCTAATAAAGAGCCTTGCTCACTTTACCTCCAAAAATAAGAGGTGGAGTTAGCTTAGGTCTAAATTTAAATGTTCTTAAATAAATAACATTTGACAAGTGTGTCCGCAGGTTGGTCCCATGTTTGGGCCACTAGAAAATCACTCACAATGAATGTGGTATGGGCCAGGAGATGTCCATTTTTATGGAGCTCTCCCAAACCACCACCATCTTTCTGTAATTTTGTACATATAGTCCAGAGATGCTTATCTCAGTCATAAAGCCTCCTGAAAAAATAATCCAAAATCCAAGATCTTGTAAACATGAGAAAAACAAACTTTCTTCTGAGGTTTTGGTCCACTAAGGAGACAGAAGACGAACCTACAACTTCCAGTACACAGCTAGTAACGTCTTCACTGCAAAGTTGAGTGTCAGAGTAAGTTATATTTTTATTCTCTCTTATATCTGCATTTATTATAGCGTGTTTATTGGCCACACCTTGACAGCTGTCCGTCTTAAATCATAAACCATAAATCATAAATTAGTGTGTCTGTGTGCATGTGTCTGTATGTGTGTCAGAGGTGACTCACAGCGAGGTACAGCATGGTGTACATTGCAAAGGAAGCGTGCCCAGAAAAAAAGGACTTCCTGAAAGAGAAGAAAAATACATGATGCAGAAGAAAAATCACTTTGAGGGAGAGATTTCTATGCAGACTGACCTTGCTTCTTCCACCATCTTGTGTTTTGGTTGTCTGCAGATGGCCTGCGGCACATAACTGCCAATAGTGCAGTTGATGGACGCGTACGTGATATTACAGACGGACAAGAAGTTGGGTCGCAGACGTCCCACACTCAGTTTGGCCATGTTAGTGAGAGACTGACCTACGCAGCAACCAAACAGAAAACTCCCCAGCTCCTTGTACAGGCACGAAACGTAACGGTTTCGAACGAAAGCCCTCGAGTGAACGCCTCTAAAACGTACCCGGTAGCATTCACCAAGTGCAATCTGGGAAAGGAAGCACAAAACAGGCAAGAAAGTCACACGTCTGAGCTACACAAGTACTAGAAGTGAAAGTATGTCTGTCTGGTTTCTTTAATATAAATAAATGCTTTATTAGACCATGTCGGGCACATGTGGTTAACACCGTCTTACCGTTAAGCCAGTGATGACTATACCTCCAGCGATGAGCATGCTGTCAGGAATGGCCTCTCTCTCCACATAGGGGTAGGTGATGCTGGTGTCTCCACAGAAGAAGCCGCGTTTGTATGGAGTCACTGCCTTTAGTTCACATGCAAAGAATGGGATGGAGGCTGATGATATGTGGGGGAATACAAAAAACAAAAGATGGCTTGATGGATTTCTGTTCTCAAAAGAAAGAAAAATATAAACATCAACCAATAACGTTCCCCACATAAATAGTCAGCACCAATGAGTGAGATGATGGCGGAATTCTCATGAATCACAAGGGAATGCAATGGGATCCAACATGTCCCAGATTCCATGTAAACAACAAGGAGTCTGCATATACTGTGGGAGCTGCTTCCAACAGAGGAGGAGCAGGAGACAGAGAGACGGTGGCCATCAAAGACAGACAGAACAAAGGGATGACTGTGGTAACACAAGGTGAAGAGGAAGGAAAACAATATCAGAGAGCGTGTTACACATACGGTTCCAGTGTGCCAAAATAAAACAATAAGTCAAGTGTGAGGAAAGCAAGGGAGCGTGGGATTCATTTTGGTTACTCTAATGCTGTTTTGTGTCGCATGGGCTTGAATATTAATATAAATAAAAGTTACTTAGATGTATTGTTCTGTTCCATGGTCTGTGTTCCATGGTGTGTTCGACAGTTATATTTCACAGCCCCATTTCAGAGAAAAGTTTTTATAATTTTTTACTAACACAAAAAAAGAAATGTGTCTTACAACAGACAAGTCGCAGCCAGCAGTCAATGAGACGATTGTGGAGCTGCAGTGGATATTGTTAAAGTCAGACAACAATGTGGTCACAGTCTCAAACAAAGAGAAAAAAAAAATCTACATTGTGACCTTTGGGCCATTCTTAGTTTAGAATCGTTTACACAAAAGATCCATGACCATTAGAGCTTGTATTGTCTACGCAAACATTCAGGATGAACACCAGCAGAGGGCAATAATACTAACTTTCAAGGTCCAAAGGGCCTTCCTTAGATGTTTGCGTTATTGAAACTAAGCCAAAAAGGTGATATCACAAGTTACAAAATAAAGCTCAAGGTTCAAGTTCCCCTGGTCATTAAATCCATATTATATATTGTTATATATGTGTATTCACCATAAACCTGACACAGACTTCTTTACAATCTCCAGTAAAAAGCTGGTAACAAGAATTTAACTTGAACGTGTTTCACTTTCACCCAGACACAGAATTGTACTTTGACATTACAATGTTACTGGGTTTCAAAACCACTACACTTGTGCTTCCTGGTTGTTCACTAATCATTATCTGGTGAGGACTCAAGGTCTACCTTGCTCAACTAAACAAACAAAGTCCACAGCTTTACAGGGGGTGAAAATGTGGTCAACACATTTAACCCACCACAAGGGGAGATGAGGTTTTGATCCCCACCCCCGAGGATGAGCTGCACAGCTTTTATTATTGTGCGCTAACAAGCATTAGCTCTGTCCAGACCGCTGCATTTTCCTGTCCCTTATCCCATGTCCTCTTGTCACCCCTTGGAATGCAGAGAGAACATGGGATTAATCATTGACCTCCGTGCCTCTCCCAATCAAACCAGGCTTACAGTTGGTTGGAACCGACCCAGGCCCTGCTGCTGAAATGGAATCTCTGAGACTACGTGACTGAACAGTGTACAAGAAACACACTCAAAACTACAGTAGAGCAGGAGGAATACTACATAATACATACACAAATGGTTGTGTATATATTGTGATACTGCAGTGTTCACTACAAAGATGCTGTAGTGAACACTGTGATTCTTTGTTGATTTTTTTGTTTTGGCTGTCATTGTGTCTCTTAATATGAAAACATCCCACTTCCAAGAACTGAGCAAGAAACCTAATCTTATCAACACATTAAAAGTTATCAGTGCATAAAGTTAACAAGACTACAGTATAACAATGCAATGGGAAACAGTGTCGAGGTAAAGAGTTTCAATCCATGTCAAGACGCCCCGAGAGAAAGACAAAATACAGACAAGAGCCATTATTTCAGAATAGGCCTGAGTGAGGAAGTGTTAGAAAAAAGAGGAAGAGAAAGAGAGAGAGAGACACGTTGCATTCAGATAGTGGAGCGTGACGACAATAAAGAGAGAGGGTGGGGGAGAGAGAAAGAAAGCCACAGAGAGAAAAAATCTCACTGACCCATGTTGTTTGCTCATCTACATTTACTCTCCACACACCTGCAGAAGTACAGGTACATTTATTTTTAATTATGCCCTTATCCTAAATTCTGTTTACACCACAAATGTCAGTGGACTGTAGGTATGTCACTGGGGAATTGCTATTATGATTTTATTATTTATTACAGTATGCCCAGAGGTTTAAGTAACACAAAATAACAAAACATTTAGTAAAAGACTGAAATGTCATTGTATTGTGTTAGTTTTCCATATAAATGTATATTTTTTATAGATAAAAGTCTTAAGGGCAAAAAGAAATGGACCTATTATTAAGCTAAAATCTCAAATATTTCTTGGCTTTTAAAAAAATTTCCTTAACAGGAATCACACACAAAGTGAGATAACGTCACTTCAGTTTGTCTATTTGTAGATAAAGTCTCGTATCTATATATGTATATATACAAAAAAATCATAATATGGCTAATGATATTCAGGTTTAAACTGGAATAACTATTTCCACGTATCTTGGGAAAAATGCAGAGATCCTGGACTTTATCATTTCTTGTTTATATTATCATAGTAGGGATGTTGGTTTTGACCTTAAACATCTGACACGCACAGTTGGAGCATTGTGATGCCTTAATCTGGGTTATTTAGGCTGTGTGTAGACATGAACCAGGCTCCTTTTAAACTGTGGTGAATATTAATCAAACCGGAAAACTGGTTACTTGACCTGAAACCTCTAATAAATGAAGTTAAGTGAGAAGAAAAGTTAGAATTTGTACCTCTTTTATAACAGCCATTACCCAACATACTGTACATCAGGCAGCTCAATCTGTTTCAAACATATGGCCTGTGTTTATACTATATGTGGCATACCATAAAAGTTCAATCTTGACGTTGGGAAACAAAGCTTTGTGGTAAAAACACATCTTATGATTTTGTGTTAAAATACTACATGTTAACAGAACATTTTCATTGTCATGAAGTGATTCAAATTTGTCCATAATGGCCCATCATGGAGAGATTCTCCATACATTAACACAGTCTTCGTGCAGTCACGTTTCCATATACATATGAAGGTGTAATGGAAACCACAGGGAGCTGAAGCACTTAGCAGCATGTTTTATTACCACAGGCCTGCAAACTCTTATGGCATGTCTTGTTTTCTTGTTGGATGAAGTTCATGGACAGGCTGGCCAGTGAAGGCTCACAGCCACAAAGCTGCTGGCAAAGCTTCATGTTAAAAAAATCACCTTCAAGTGTTAACTAATTCAAAGCAACAGCTCGTGGAGCTGCATGTAGTTTATGGAAGGAATCATTGATTGAGAATTTGCACGAAGCTTGCAAGCCTTTCCGGCTAATAACCACAACTACATGGCAACAGTTTTCACAACAAGACATAAAAAACACTTCAGAAAGTCTCACATCATCTGTCACACAGCTGTGAGCAAATCTCTGCACCTGGCCAAGACAAGCTCAAAGGAGAGCAATGCTAGCAAAGGCCTGCGAGGGGACCTTAGAGGAGGTGGAGGAGTGGGTTGGCTCACTCAGCAAG